ATCGTAATTGTCATTCATCTTACCAAGATTTTTAATCTCAACACTTGGTTATGACTTATGAATATTGCATTCATCTATATCTAACTTCCTTTCCTTTTATTTTCTGCAGCGTCTTTTTGAAGAAAGGGAGGTATATCTAGAGTTCTTGCATTTGGCTGCTTCACTTGAACCTATTATATACATACATTATTATGAAGATGACATCGATCTATATGTAATTTTTTTTTTAATTATATTTTCTGCAGCATCTTTCTTCATCCATGGAACTAATCCCACATCAAACTTGTGCGTTTGCTAACGCAAAGATATTAAAGTTTATACCAAAATTGCCGGTTAAGGTATACTTAGAAATGCGGGCAGAAGAGAAAGTAACTGAAATAAAAAACTATGATACTTCTCCAGGTGTCATCTTCCCAATGGTCTCACATAAGGTATTTTCACAATGCCAGTTTATTATTTGATATGGTTTATTGTAACATGGACAACTTGAAATTTAGTATGATTATGGAATCATATTGCAGGAGACTACAGTTATGGGGGATATGGCATCAGCACAACTATTCGTGAAACACTTGGGGCTGTGGCTAAAGCAGTGTAAAGCAAATAGAAATAGCAACACCAACAAGGCTCAAATGGATGAACATGGCAAATCACAAGTTAAGAAGCATTGGGTGAGGGAACTGCAATTGAACATTGGGGAAATGGTTGCACTGATTAAGCAAAGTAAATCTGTAGCATTTGAGACTTGTCTCATGATGGCACACTCTATGTCAAGCTGTGTTGAAACATCAGAGATTATAGAATGGTTGCAGGAAAGGCGTTCATTGTTTCAGTGTATCGAAGAATTGATGACTCAGCTGTCTGCATCAGAGAGGGCTGTGATGCAACCTAATTATTCTAGATTGTGTGAAGATGCTGCCATTCTCACGAATAATATATTGGGATGGATGAAGATCATAAAGGAAACAGTATTTGAATCACATTAAAATACTATTATTTTAATATTCAAATCTAGTGTTTATAGGTGATATAACAACTATATAAAGGGACATATCCCTTTGCAACACCGATCCTTAACCCTACTCAAGAAGAAATTGGATCTTTTCCTCTCCCTCTCTCCATATTTTCAATTATAGGGCTTTTCTACAGTTTGGGTATGACATATTAGAGGCTACCATATTATTGGAGCTAGTTTTCCAAGGAGATCTACAAGAGAGTTTCTTGCATCGTTTTATTGTTGCAAAAGGTATGATTCTAGCCTAGTAAATTTTGATTTTGTAGGTTAGATGTTGTTTCATAAAGTATGTTGCTATACCTAGAGAAAATGTCATAAAGTTCTACGTTGCATGTTCCCATAAGTGTTTGTGTAAAATATGTTGTGCAAATCTTTTTGTTCTAACCTAGAAAACTCATCAGGAAGGAGGGGCCCAACTTAACTGTAATGTGCGTGCATCACTATTGAATTATGAACTAGACTTCCGCTGATTTTATGATACTATTATGTTTTGGAAATTATGCTTTTCATTAATTGAACAAAATGAGTTTTCATATTATCTTGAAAACACAGTTTGACATTATATTTTATTTTGAAAAAGAAAAATTATGGTTTGAAAGTTGGGAAGTTATAGCTTAAATGTAAATTTCCATGAACGTTCAAATCTTCTAATATTTAATAAAGTTTTAACCATTTTCTATTAGATGTAATATCCTAAATATTCTTTGATTTCAAAACTAATTTCATTGTTGAAATTAGACTTCGACAAAAAGACCGAATCGAGAGCGAACCATTCTATAATAAGACCAAAAAAAGGACTACTCCAAGAAACACCATATTGAAAAACTTATAAGCTTAAGGTTGTGCGTTTGGCGCACATAAGCTATCTTAATTTTTGAACATATTGCATTTTAATGTATAAATTGGGATGGTGGAATTTGGTCAAATTCTTATGGGTGTAGGTTATTTGAGCCAAAAATTTGATCCAAATGACTCTTTTTTTGGGGCATCGCACTTGATAAGTGAATCGAAGGCGGCAAAAAAAAAAAAAACACCAAATGCTTAAAAACTTAAGATGAGGAGCCTCGACAAGCAAAAAAGTTATGGTTGGCAATGGCGATATTCATGCAATTAGTTTATCACAATTCACCCCCCTCCCCCCTCACACCGGAAATCTTTTGCAATGGTGAAAAAATCCCAAAATTATGTACTGATTCCTATTTTTGGTTGTGTATTTTGATTCTAGTTCCTCTTTAATATGTATAAATTGGAATGGTCGAATTCTAAAATTCAAGTACATCGATTGCAGTCTTTGCTTCTTATTCATTTTTATTACTTGCTTTTGAAGCCATATGCCTATTTCCATTTGGTTTTCTGATTAATTATTCCAATTTATAGAGTTCGAAAAAGGAGTTCAAGAATCCAATTGTTGTTCTGATTTTGTTTTCTGAGTTTTGATTAGTGGTGCAGAAAAAGGAGGATGCAGACCACTAAGCATGAGGTGATTTCTGATTTCTTAGTTTTCGGGTTTTTCTAATTAGTGGCGCGGAAAGATGAACACGAGGACCACCTACTCTTAGGTGCTGTTTGTTTTTTCGAAGCAAAAATCCATAAATTTTGCGGACCACCTCTACAACCCTCTGCAGTAGAAGTGGTGAACCAAACGGCTGCAGACTGTAATAAGAAGCGTGTTTGTTTTTTTAACATCTGCATGCTGCTGCAAATATTAAAAAGTTAGAATAAACTGATTTTATAATCCGAAAAATAGTTTTTTAATACCGAAAATTTAATAATTTTTGATATTTCGGTAATAATTTATGATATTTCAGCAAAAAGTAATGATATTTTAACAAAAAATAAAGATATTTTGGTAAAAAATAATGATATTTCATCTACAAATTATTATTATTCAATATAAAAAAAATCAACAAATAAGAAAAAAAAACGAAAAAAAAATGTAACATAAGATTTCAACAATATATAATCAATATTTTAGCAAAAAAAAAAAAAGAGGTTGAAAGAGGTAGGAAGAAGCAAAACAAGTGTTGCGCCAAGAAAAACACGCACAAAGGTTTTTTTAATCCGAAGACTTATGAAAAATAAATAACTGCAAGATAAAAAATGTTGTGCATGTGATGCACCGCGCAATAATAAGAGGTCTGAAGAGGTTTTTCCAAAAAACAAACAGCACCTTAGTCTCTTACTCCTTCATCTGGATGTAATCTAATTTCTTGTAGTGCCAATCAAACGTGTTCACTTTTTGTTGTTTATTTGATGACATATATGTACTATGGGTGTCTAGCAAATCTCATTGTTTCAATATCTCAATTTTCCTTTATAAGTTAAAGAGATCAAAGTAAGCCTAAATGCATAGCTGTTGTTCTTTTGATAATAAAAGTTGTACATTTGATTTGACAAACCGTTAATATGTTATCTAAAGTTATTATTGGGGCTGCTTAAAAATTATTCAATTTTATCTCTAGCTTCTAAAGGCAATAAGAACATTCTTGTAGCAAAACAAGTTTGGGTAAGATCCTGAAACTCGCGGGCTAACTGCTGCACCTCAATAACCGGTGCGAACTCGGCTCTGAATCTGGTAGTAAAGTCTGCCCAGGTCATGGCATCCAAGGCTGCGTCATCCCCGATGGCATGACCAATCTCCTCCCACCAATCCCGTGCCCTGTCATTCAGAAGACAGGACGCCAAACTGACCTTGTCCCCCTCGGGACATCTGCTAGTGCGGAAGGCGTTGGCTACATCTGCCAACCATCTGGTGCTCGCTATGGGGTCCCGCGCCCCGTGGTAATCTGGAGCTCCACATGCACGGAACTCCCTGAAGGTAAGCGTGCGCGACCCTATCATGGTCGCTACCTCAACACGGAAAGTACTCAGTCTCTCATCCATCAACTCCAGGATACCCTCCTTGATCGAACCAAAGATCACAGGAGTCTGCTCAAGTATGGTGCGAGTAATCTCTGAAGAGAGAAACTCCCTAGTCTGCTCATCCAACTGCCCGGCCTCCGGGCCTGATCCTGATCCCCCTCCGGCACCTGAACTGCCGACTGCTGGTCTAGAGCGTAATACCACCATTCTGAAACACAACATAATAAATGTCAGGAACACTGATATATCTCGAGGAATCACTACTACCACAAGTTTCCCGGTCCCATCTCAGCTTTCCTTGATTCGAGTACAGATCCTCTACTTCCAGTAGTACGGGCCCATACTACCTTCCACATCTATCTGTACTTTCCTCAAGTACTGCCTTGACTCCACCAAGTCACTATTACTGCTAATAATCTCTGCTACTCTCATCATAGGCTTGCCCTAGAGAATTCTCTGACTATACCCGATCCAGTCCTCAGCTGCTGAAAGCCTCCCTATGATACCAATTAGCCATCACCTGAATACCACCACATGCGGCGAGGCTCAGATAATCCTTCAAGTAAAAGACTCATCCCTACAACGGTTATACTCAGACAAGAGCTGCGCAATAGGGCTAAGTCCAGCACTCTGAGATTATTCAATCCTGTTCACATGTGACGCGACGCATTCACCTGATGGCTAACCCCCATCACTTAGAGTCCCACAAAGCACAAAGCAAGCAACATTCAGACATAGGAGACCACTCAAGCAATTCTATCCTCATAAGAGGGAAACTATACTAGCATACAATGCTAAGTTCACATTATCAGGCATAACCTAAACAGGCTATCCTATTGCTGACTACTCTATGCTATCATGCAATTCTTATAAGGCTAAAACACATAAAGCAGACATATAAGGCATCCTCATAGATTCTTAGTTCTATACTAGCATGCTGTTCTACTGATACTGAAATTGAAGCTGATATTCTTAACCTAACTTGTATGGGTAATTTGGGAGTACTTATTTGAGCTCGGCTGATCGCATGCACCACACCCCTTTTCTCTTTTCAAGGTTTTTATCTTTCTTAAAATTCTTTTTACTTTTCTAAAACTCTTTTCTTTCGAAAAACATTTTACCATTTCCTTAGTTTGAGTTCAGACACACCCGGAAGTATGCCTGAATCCCTCAAACCAAGGCTCTGATACGAACTTGTAACATCCCAAAATACGATCCAATTTTTTTTGTTTAAATAGTAATAAAAATCATATATTGTTTGTCATATCATAAAGACCATGTATCAAATATCTCAACTCATAATAAAATGTCGTGAAACAACTGTATCAAATCAAACTACAAATCAAAACAAACTCCCAGGATAAAGACTAAAGTTGTGGTGTGTGAGATGCCATCATCCCGAGCTCTTCCCCTTACTTGCGGAAATACCTGAAACCAAAACTCAAACTGTAAGCACGAAGCTTAGTGAGCTCCCCCAAACTACCACATACCATACAATAACATATAAACATGTATGGGCCTTGCCCACTGCATCGGGCCGAAGCCAGGAAACTACATCGGAACGTAGTCCGGAACTGACAGGGACCTTGTCCCGTGCATCGAACCGATGTCCGAAATTAGCTGCATCGGACCGAAATCCGGAACTGACTGCATCGGACGGAAGTCCGGAACTAACTGATCATAGCATAGCATAAACACATATCAACTAGCATAACACACATGATCATAAACTCATATACTGCATACTACGTTAGACCGTAGCCCATAACATATAACACATAAATCCTGTCTGAGCCACGAAGGCATCAAACACACTAACAACTGCATCGGACCGAAGTCCGGAAACTACTACTAACTAAACGGGCCGACATTGTGGCCTTAGACCCGAACCTACTGGAAGGAAACTCACCTCGTAGCCTAGCTGCTGAAAGGACTGCTCCAGAATCTGTCTGATGCGTCTCCGGTTTCACCCCGACTACAATATCCATGAGCACCATCAATCAATTACTGATAATAATAATACTGAGGGTAAATGACTCTCCTACCCCTGGTCCACGTCAACCTAACTATCAAAGTCAACATTCAGTTGACCTGACTCGTCGAGTTGAGCCGCCAACTCGTCGAGTCCTTACTCTTACTTCCTTGATTCCACTCGCTACTACTCGTTGAGTTTTGGCGCAAACTCGGCGAGTTCCTCTTCGCTACTAACACTCTGTCAATCTGCATCCGACTCGCCGAGTTGTATGAACAACTCGTCGAGTTCTCCTTCCTCAGATGATCATTCTAGCTGTAACTCGCCGAGTTGTATGAACAACTCGTCGAGTCTGTTCTTGAAGTATGAAGATTGCCTTGGACTCACCGAGTCAGGGCATTTACTCGCCGAGTTCTTCAACAAATGAGTCTAACCCTCTAGCTCACCGAGTCCATCTCTCACTCACTGGTTCCACTCGGCATAACTTGAAAAAGGAAAAACAGGGGACTCGCGACTCGACTCGCCGAGTCAGAAGAACGACTCGTCGAGTCGTATGCATGCAAATACTATACACTCGATTCTGCTTGAAACTAATCCATGCCATTAATACATCTGGGTTCCTGGGACTTGATTTACACGTAAAGTTTCCAACTTTACGTGTAAATAACATCAAATGAAGGTTTTAAGGTTAAAAGCACACTATAATAGTAGATCTAGAGCTTTCATGCAAGATGGATCCATAAAGGTGCTAGATCTAAGCTCCTGGAAATCAAATCTAGCTAGATTTGAAGGTTAATCAACTCCATGAGTCCTCTATGCTACTATTAAGCTATGAAATGGTTCAAGAATGGCTTCTCAAAGGAGATTTAAGCATAGAAACAGAAAAGGGCCAAGATATACCTTACTTTCTTCTGAAATTCCTCAAGGATCTAGAATCTCCTTCTTCTCTTCTTGATCTACCTTCCTTTATCTCTCAAAATCTTCAATGAACACACCAAAATCACACAAAAATACAAAGAGGGCTCTAGGGTTCGAGTATGATGCTCTGAGGGGTGATGGGGGCTGACTTGAGGCCCCCAAAAGTTGTTTATATAGGGTGCAAACCCTTGAAATTAGGGTTTCATCTAGACTGGCAGACTCGCCGAGTCCGGGATATGGACTCACCAAGTCGCCAACTTAAACGTGCTTGAAATCGCGACCCAACTCGACGA